CTCGCGCATGCGCAGTGGTACTTATTCTGCGCATAGGCCGAAAGTAGGCTATGTTATGGTAGGTTATAAGTTATCTTGCGTTAGCGAAGGGAGCACTATTTCGGATAGTTTTTTAGGGTTTTCTAAAGAAACCTTCGCCTTTGAAAAGGTCTATTTTCGAAAATTACGTCAGATATGCTTATTTCGTTCTGTATCGTTTCCAGGGTAACAACGCGTGTTTGTGTGACTCTGTAGCACCCCCAGTACCTTGAAAATATTTCTCCATCATCCCAGAATCACCCCCATAACGTTAGATTTGTCATAGTAGCAGATACGGATTCTCGCGCATGCGCAGTGGTACTTATTCTGCGCATAGGCCGAAAGTAGGCTATGTTATGGTAGGTTATAAGTTATCTTGCGTTAGCGAAGGGAGCACTATTTCGGATAGTTTTTTAGGGTTTTCTAAAGAAACCTTCGCCTTTGAAAAGGTCTATTTTCGAAAATTACGTCAGATATGCTTATTTCGTTCTGTATCGTTTCCAGGGTAACAACGCGTGTTTGTGTGACTCTGTAGCACCCCCAGTACCTTGAAAATATTTCTCCATCATCCCAGAATCACCCCCATAACGTTAGATTTGTCATAGTAGCAGATACGGATTCTCGCGCATGCGCAGTGGTACTTATTCTGCGCATAGGCCGAAAGTAGGCTATGTTATGGTAGGTTATAAGTTATCTTGCGTTAGCGAAGGGAGCACTATTTCGGATAGTTTTTTAGGGTTTTCTAAAGAAACCTTCGCCTTTGAAAAGGTCTATTTTCGAAAATTACGTCAGATATGCTTATTTCGTTCTGTATCGTTTCCAGGGTAACAACGCGTGTTTGTGTGACTCTGTAGCACCCCCAGTACCTTGAAAATATTTCTCCATCATCCCAGAATCACCCCCATAACGTTAGATTTGTCATAGTAGCAGATACGGATTCTCGCGCATGCGCAGTGGTACTTATTCTGCGCATAGGCCGAAAGTAGGCTATGTTGTGGTAGGTTATAAGTTATTTCGCGTTAGCGTAGAGAGCACTATTTGGGATAGTTTATTAGGGTTTTCTAAAGAAACCTTCCCCTTTAAAAAG